TTTAGTACTCGTGTCCAGGGACTTGTATGAAGTGCAGCTTCGACACCCAAGTGGATAAGGCTGCTCATGGGTTGTTTTTTTTTTCCCATTTGTGCTTTGGGACCCCAAGAGATACATTTAATTAAGAGTATCCTGAGGGTTATCTTCTGCTTATCCCCCTGGACTAAACCCCATATGGTGAGTGTTAATTAGGTTGGCAAGCATTCGATTAAGCTACGTTGCCAGTATTCTAAATTTATGACCGTCTGTATCTCTTAATGGCATTGTTAGGAAATGCCCTTAAGCTGTCAACTCCTGCAATCCAAGACATGATATCCTGTATCTGAAGGATGGCATCTCCCACAGCACAGCGTTCCCAACTAGGACGAGCGGGCTGCGCTGTCTCGGAGAAGCACGCTGTTGTCTCAGGTTCAGGATTGAGTTGGCAGGCATGCAAAAATCATGAGTCAGGCCACCAGTAATAGAACGCTTTTGGGTTTGTGATTTGGCTCGTCTTGTGTGTCCCCCCACTCCTTTAGGCTATACTTGGATCACATTTTCAACCTCTCCTCTGAAATAATGAATGCTAACATTTCTTTTTAAAGCCCTGTAAAACTAAGATTTTCAAGTAAATTGCACGATTCCTAAAGCTGACACCGAATACCTGGAGACTCATGTAAAATGCGAGCATTAGTAATGCTGCAGCCCCAAACATGAGCTGTAGCAAACTGCATTTCATCTGCAAACATCCTCTTAAAAATGACAATTCTCTGAATGCACATAGTACTTGTGGAAAGCAGGTAGTACTTATGGTAGTAAACTAAATTCTGTCTTCACTTCCCTCAAGACATTTATGGCCGGTTAAAGCTTTACCAAGAGTACGGAGCAGGCCAGAATTCTATAGGTTTTACCACAATCTTTTATTAAGCTTCATTTCCAAAGGTCTCACCTGAAGGACAAAGAAGTAGACATGCAACATTGCTTATGAAAAATTAAGCACTTATCCTTAGAGTCCAATACTGTAAAGCTCAATTTATTTACACATTTTAATGTGAACAAGAGAACATTGTAGGCAGATCATTTTGTACATTCAGCCAACACAGGAGCTGTATGCCACAGCATTAAGTTACATGTAAGATATACACTGAGAACGTATTAAGTGCTCTGGTGCATTGAAAAGCCACACAGGGTGGAGGCAACGGATGTCAGCTCCCGTTTGATAAAGCAGCTGGGAGACAGAGAGGCAGGGAGCTGTGCGACTCGTTTAGTGAAGGAGACAGGAGTCAGGTGATTTTTGTGCACACTTTTTCAGCTCTCGGTGCTGAAATTCTAGATTTGGAAATCTAAGCGTACTCCGCGGTTTACAGTGCCCTGCCTCTCTCGGGATCAGCCCTGGCTAAACTGGTGTTTTGACATACGCGTGTCAAAGTGTGCTGTACACCAACAGATTATTTTTCAAGCTGCAAGAAGGACTAGAATGTGCCATGGGGCTCCTTTCCTTTAAATCTTCACGTGCTGGTTAGCTGTCAATATCTGCTGCAATCCTGGCCATGGCCACTGTCACCTCAGACTAACAAATATTCTGTAAAAGTATAGACTTGGGGGTACAAGTAGCATCCTCTTTTCAGCTTGTAAGCTCTGACCTAGACGGGAGGGAAGGAGTTTATGTCAATCCTGAGCTATGGGCTCCGCTGTCAAAGAGCGCGGCGGTCCTACAGTCAGTTTAAACAGATGTTTGGCTTCTAGGGGCCCTGTTCGTGCCTTCTCAGCAACAGAGATGGCAGCTGTAAGACTGTGCACAAGAGCAGGAAATAAAATCTTTTGGAAGCTTGGGAAAAAGAGCAAGAAAGGGGGTAAACCCCCCCCCCCCCCCCCCATTTTAAAATTCAAGTATTGAACATCGGCAGCGAGCAGGAGCGAGGTGCAGCCTGGCAGCCCTACTGCCGTGCTCACAGTGGCTCACGCAGACCGGCAAAAACGCAACCCTTACACCACCAGCGTATTGTGTTGAGGTCTAAAGCCCAAGGAACGCCTCAGGCTCTACTGATGGGGCACAATGGAGTAATCAAAACCACTGTGATTTATGTGCTGTAGAAACAGACATCGTCTCGCTTGGAGTCCTTTGTCAGGAAATCTCCAAAAGCAAGTCTCGCTGCAGGTAAAGGGAACTGTCATTATTAAGTAGAATTATTTAAACACACACAGGCTGTGTAAATAAAACATAGTTATATAAAGCTTTGGAGCGAGACTCTTGCCTTTAGCGTCTTTGAAAGAAAAGGGCCAAACCAGCACAATAATGCAAAAGTTCAGGTTATGGCTGGAGGAAATTTCACTCAGAGCAGAAGACAGCCACATGCTGACAACTGAGGGCTCTCTGGCAGAGAGGGAGGTCAGCCCAGCAGTCAGTCAGTGCCCAGGCTGCAGGGCTGTGGAGTATCCAGGCGGATTACTGAAAAAAAAAAAAAAAAAAAAAAAATCACAGAATTGGGCTAGAGAGCAGCCCACAAAAGAGAAGTACAAGCAGGGGCTCCACATCAGAGTAGCGCTCTGCCCCTGGCAAAGCACTCCGTGGCTGTCTCTCACGATGTCAGGTCCCATCATTAGGAGAAAAACCTAACCAGCCATTTACTGGCTACGAAGTCCCTGGCACACCAGTCAACTGCGGTCTTTAAATACCACTGAGAAACGAAGAACTGGGAAAACTACGTTCTGTTACACATAGGACCATCCTAATAATAGAAGTCAACAGCAAAACATTTAGACCCCTCCACAGCAGCACCCATAATAATCAGACACAGAGAATATTGCCATGTAAAAAGTGGAGTTTGTAGCTATGCACGGTTTTGCACAGCTTGTTTTAAAACAGTTTGTTTCTGTGGTTTCAGAACTAATAGGTCAAAGCAGCTACTGCCTCACTGATGAAAACGGAAGAGATAAGAAAAGCCAGCATTCTTGTACCCTTCCCATTCAGCCTCCCCTGTACTACTTTGTTTTGTGTTGTTAATGAACAAAAGCGGCACATAAATTCACAAACAATTGATTACCGGGGATAGAAAGCCAAAGGTAGTAAATCAGTGTCACTGCAACTCCAACAAGATTAATGTTCTGGCAGTTTTAGCCCATTAACGTTGTTATCTTACTTAAACACAAAAGGTATTGAGGGTAAAAGAAAAGCTGTTATTTCTTGAGGTTTCATAAGCTGTAGGTACGGGATGCCACTGATAAGATCTGAATTGTCAGACATGCCATGTTGGTGAAGAAACTCCACATACAGGTACACCTACAGCCAGTAGGCATCTACTCTTTGCAGGGCCGGGAAGGCTATAATTTTTCTAAGCTGCACAAAAATGCCAAAGCTATCTCAAGTATCTCCAGATCGAATTAGTATTCGTAGCTGGCATGGCAAACATATGCAAAATAATAGTTCTGCTGTCATAAACAATAGCAAGAATCTGAAATAAATATGTACAAGTCAGTGGAGTTCTTGGGAATTTTTGGTAGTGGGAACAGAAACTGGCCACGAGTCAATAAAAAAAAAAAAATGCAGAAAGCCACTGTTGCAAGTCCAAGATCCTCCCAAACCCCTTGGGAGTATCAGAGTAACGAGTTAAAGCACGGAACACAAGCACTATTCATTTCAAATAAAGTCTTCTAAGGTCCTGGGGATGCTCCACTACACATACAGTCCAAGACACACCAAGTAGACTTAAAACTGTTTCCCAGCAAAACAACAGTTTTTAGAGAAGGTGATGACATCAAAGTGCCAGTATAACTTGCATATGCCAGTAAATGTTGTACTTTGTCCTTTTCACTTGACAAGTTTCACCCCCTGTGTCTATTCTCCCTTCTTATCAGCTTCTAGCCATCTCTTGGAAGTTGGAAAGATAAATATCATGAGTACACAATGCTCCATTATTCTTACAGTACTCACTGAGTGCTGGACTGTGCACGCTTTTTTTTCCTTAGGTCTTTCACAGTATTAGACTAGTATC